GGGACTTCGGCGCTGGCCACTGCGCTGATGTGGGGCCCGAGAATGCGTCGCACACATTACGCCTGTGGCGCCATGGAGGCCGCATTTGCGGTTGCAGTTGGGCGGGCGCCCCGCCGCGCGCACCGCGGCGACAGCTCTCTTGGGCGCCCGCCCGCCGCCGTGGTCGGCGCGCGGCGGGTCGGCAGCCACGACGCTGGCGGCCTGAAAATGCTTCGAAAATGTTTCTCCCCGAGCCCGGGGCTATTGTACGTTTTCGGTGGCACGCGCAGCTCGGAGAAAAATCGCCTTGTCCGTCGGCGGCCAGATGGCTGTCGCCGCGCAGAAGTGCCGGCGGATGGCGCGGTCCACGCTCAGTGCAGAGAGCGTGTCCATGAGCGTGGACTCGTCGAGGGGCAGGAGGAAGGACCTCGCGGTCGGGACCATCGCGGCCCGCGATGTCCACGGCCCCCACCCTGGGCGCGCGAGGACCTGCTGGGCGCCGCCGCAGCGCGATTTCAGAGGATCGCGGAACCAGAAATCCGGGCGCGCCAAATTTCGCGGGCCGAAAAACTCTCAGAGAGTTTCGGCCAGCTCCGAGGTTTTGGGTTTATGGGAATGTTTCACGCGGGGTGGCTAATTCAGAGGTTTTCAGAGATTCTCAGAGAATTTCGGACGCGAGAATTTGGCGCGCCCCGGTTTCTGGTTCTGTGAATCTCTGAAAAGCGGTTCCTTAGGGGTTTTACCGGGTCTCCAGGCGTCCTCCTGTCTGCCAGAGACGAGCGACTGGCTGGCGCCGCGCCCGATGCTTCCGGAGTTGCGAACTCGGTCTTCGATTCCCTGGGGCCCGCGGGCCCCTGGGCCAATTGCGAGGTTGCCGAGTCCCCCAGGCGGTTGCGCGCGATTGTCTCGGAAACCGGAGTTGGGCATCCATGGTGGACGCCCGCGCGCACGCGCTAGGTGTCCGCGAGATTGTTCGGTGGCGGATCTTGCATGGCGCGGGACTTTTCCAAAGACTTTCCGGGGTGTTATCTACGGTTATTTCGGCGCGCTTCGGGAACCTTGGGGCGGCGCGGGGAAGTCGCCTGGCCGCGCGCGTGATTTTTGTTCCAATGCCGTCTTGGGCATTATCGCGGTGTTGTTTGGCCGAAGAGGTCACTGAGTAACGCGATGTTTGACATTTTCGTGTTTTTTCGTTGCGTTGGTTGCGTGATTGTTTTGGCGGTCCGCCTCCTGGGGGCCCCGTTTGGGCCTCAAGTTTGTTTTGTTGACGTCGGGCCTTCTGGAGTGACAGGCGCTTGGCGCTGAATTCCCTCGGTCGTGCGCGTGGCCAAATACGCGCCGCGGCTTCATCCGCGCCGGGGCGCTTTTCTTCCCTCGCGAAGCCGATGGCGCCCAAGGCGTGGCAGGCCCGTTCGGCGGCGCCCCCGGTGAGTTGAATAACCGAGCATGATCTTTATCCCGGTCAAATTTTGCCCCGATCCCGGCTGCGCCTTAATTGGCGGAGCTGGGCAGGGGCGCTCCGCGCTTCGCCCCCCCCCCCCCCCCCCCCCCCCCCCTAGCCCGCGACGCCGAGCTCCAGCCGCGCGCAGAGGGGGGCGGGGGGCGGGGGGCTTCCTAGAAGCACCCCGGCACCTTGGAAGGCGCGGGCCTTATCTATAGATGCAAGGCCGGTGCCTTCTCAGAAGGCGCCACCTTCTAAATGGCCCCCCCCTTCCCTCCGCCCCCTTGCGCGCGCCGCCGAGAGCTGCGGCAGCTGCGCCGAGAAACAATTCAGTTATTTCATTAATTGGTCCGAAAGATACCCGTGCCCGGGGCCAGCCAAGGTGAGGTGGGCCGCCAGGGGGGACTGGGCGCGCGCCATTGTGCCCGGTCAGCTTGCCCCGCGCGCGCCAGCGCAGCATCCGCGTGTCAAGACGCAACGGCGCGCTCGACGGTTGGGTGTCTGATTGCAGCGACACGCGCTGGATTTTGTTAGGGGCGTCTCGGGGCATCGCGGTGCGCGCGCGGCTCGAAGCCGCCCATGTGTAGTGGCGCCTGTCCCAATTGATAACAAGATGCGTTTCCTCGCCATCATCCCGGCATGCAATTCGCCTGGGCATGCCTGGAGGAACGACGTTGCAACGTCGCGCCCCCACGCAAGGGGCCGCAGCGGCCACGTTGGGGGCGGTTCTGGAGGGCATGCGATGTGCTCGAGAGCGTTTTGGGCCTGCCGCCACCTCGGCTCGGCACGGGGACCTGCTTGAAACCACCGAAACACACCCGGGCCTAGCTGGGGTGGAGCTGTGACACCCCGGCTAGGTACGGGTATGTGTTAGGGGTTTTCTGGGGGCAACCGTACCTCGCTGGGGTGATCCACGGACGGCCGTCCAAGGGGGGCGGCCTCTGGCGACCTCGCCCAGCGCTAAGAGCCGCGATGTCTCTGCATCGATCAATTCGCGATTGGGCGGTTGTCGCGCTGTAGCGTTCGCGCCAGAGTTGTTCGCATGCACCCCCGAGTGCGCGTTGATTCCTCAACGCCAGGATATGTGTCTCTGGGGGCGAGCCTCCTATGCAGCTGGTCTACATCTACAGCAACCAGCGCGGGGTCGGCCACTCCGCCGATTGGAGCGCACGCGCGATCGGTGCTAACGTGCGCCTCGAGAAGACAGCGGTCTGCAATGCTCGATCGGCCGTCGCTTCTGCACTTGTGCAGCCGCCGTCAGCTGGGACGAACCGCCCCCCCGGACCCTTGCCACCCTGTTTAGGTAAAAGTACGGGTATCTTTCGCGCTCGAGATTCTGAAGCCGCGCGCAGCAAGTCGGTTCAACCGGCGGGTCTGGGATTCGCGTTCTCGGGCCGCGCGGCAGGGGCGGGGGGCGCAGGGCCTGCGGCGCCCGCAGCTCCAGCAGCGGCGGCGAACCCGCCGCAGTCGACGCCGCCGCGGTGGACAGGAGTGGGCGCGTTCTCACTGGAGCCAGCTCGAGGTCGCGATTGGCGACGTCGACGCGCGAGCCGCCGCGCCTCCGACCCCGCCGACCGACGCGCAGTTGCCGAACTGAGCTTGCGCGCCATCAGTCTCAGCCCTTGGCATCAGCGCGCCATATGGATCCAGCTCCACGTGGCCACCGCGGTCCGCGCTGGCCGCCGCCTCGCTGCCCGCGCTGGAGGACCCCCGCGATCTCGCTGCATTCAATCGGAATGCCCCCGTCGACGCGAGCCAGCCCTCTGGGAGAGTGGCCGCGAGACCAGGCTGTCGCGCAACGGCCGGCCCGATCGCCGCGCGCGCCGTTCTCAGCGACGCTCGACCACGGCGCTTCGACGAGGTCCACAGCGCGCGTCTAGCATCAGCGCTGTTGCGGCAAGAGGACGAGCAGCGACGCCAGGCTGCGCAGCGTTGGGTAGGAGTCCTTGCTCATCCTCGCCCTGTCTCGGCCGCCGCGCCCGCTGCAACTTCCCCGGTTGCTGCGTCCGACGGCGACGACGGAGAGTGCCCCATGCGTCTCGATTTGGCATCGCTCGGACGTGTACATTTTTCCCTCGGCGAGGACCATCGAGGAGCATCCTTGATCATTTGGCGGAAGAACCACGCACGAAACCGAAAAACACACAGGGAATGGACGTCCGAGCGATGGCCCGTCGAGGGTTTTCGTGCGTGGGAAAAACGGTGGTACGGTTGCAACGCCGCCGCACCTTGCGCCGCACAGCGCGCCGCCCGGCGCGCCGAGGCCCGACCGACGTCATCGCCGACTTCCGTCTCAGCGGCGCAGGTCGTTCAACAGGTCTCAGGAGGAGGAACAACACACAGACAATTCATCGGCGATTCCGCAGAGAATGTGGGAAAATATGGGAACTGGGGGGGAGGACGAAAACCCAGAAAATGTGGGAAAACATGGGGAATCTTTTTATTTGTGTGTATTTTCTTTGTGTGTCCCAGGGCCCCTTCAAGATCGTGTTCCGGCGGGTCCGACGCCCACGGCGTCGGCCCGCGCGGCCGCGCCTGACGCGGCGGGGCCGACGCTCGCGGCGCTGGCCCGCTCGGCGCCAGATGGCGACGTGCAAAGGGGGGGCCCCGCCCCGACAGGACCGCGCAGTCTCCTCGACCAGCGCCAGCTTCCCAGACACCACGAAAGGAACTCATGCAGTCCTCAGGCAGCGTTTCCAGTCTCATGTCCGCCGCGGATGTGGCAGCGCCCTGCGACTCCCGCGCGGACTTGCACGCGCCGCCGCGCAGGCCCACGCCGCTGCGAACCTCTGGGGACAACGTCGCGCCGCGGACCTGGCCGACCATGCTCGGAAGGCGGAGCTGGAACCCACGGAGGAAAGGTTGCCGACTCCACTCTATGCGACAGGAGCCGGCAACGGACCACGGGTCGCGCACTGGAGGTACACGGCCTCGTCGCAGTGGCTACCCGTGACGGCGCGACCGCGCACCGCAGCGTGCGCGCTCCAGCCGTGGGGGACGCGTGCTTCGACCTCCATGCCCCTTGCAGCCAGCAACCCACGCAGTGCAAGAACGAAGTGGTCGAGACAGGCGTAGACCGCAAGCGCCTGGCGTTTCCCAGGCCTGGCGGCTACGAAGTCAATTAATTAATGCCCTGGCTCCGCCCACGTCGACTTGAAATCGTCGCCGAGTTGACCCCCATGCATCCCAGTCGACAACTTCGGCTGACGCCCTCCGTGTGCCCACCGCCTAAGCAGCCCGCGGCACCAGCAGTGGGCAACGACAACCGGGACGACGACACCAGCGACGGACGCGTATGCGAGAGGCTCAAAAGCTAGCCGCTGGGCCCCAACGCACAAGCAACCCTGCGGGGCGCGCCGCAGGCCGCAGGCTGCGACCTGTACTCCAGCGCGGGCGTCGGCCTCGCGACCTGTGGTTGTGAACTGATGTCTACGGGCGCGGCAGCTCTTGCGCCGCCGGGCACGCACCTACAGGTAACCCCGCGCTCCGGACTAGCCCTCAAGGGCACCGGCGTCGTGGGCGACGTGGCGGGCCCCGACTACCGCGGCGAGATCAAGGTGGTCGTGTGCAGCGCCACGCCAGCCCGCGGACATCCGTGGTCGAGCAAGGCCAACGGATCGCCCGGCTCACCCTGGAACGCATCATCGCCAACGCAGATACTCAGAGCCCCGAATCATCAGGGGTAACTCGGGTCAGGGCTAACTCGGGTTCGTTTTTCGGGATTCCGAACCCGACTCACCCGGGACCCGACTTACCCCGGATCATTCGGGCGTCCAGAGGCCCGAATCATCAGGGGTAACTCGGGTCAGGGCTAACTCGGGTTCCTTTTTCGGGAATCCAAACCCGAGTTACCCCGGACCCGAGTTACCCCGGATATCTCGGGCGCCCAAGATACCGTGGTCGTCATTAACGTTTGTTGGCTTCACGTGGATCTGAAGAATTCGGACACACAGGCATGACGCGCACCGGTGGGGAGGAGGAGGAGGAGGAGGAGGAGGAGGAGGAGGAGGAGGAGGAGGAGGAGGAGGAGGAGGAGGAGGAGGGCATGAGGAGGAGGAGGAGGAGGAGAAGAGGAGGAGGGGAGGGAGGAGGAGGGGAGGGAGGAGGAGGGAGGGGAGGAGGAGGAGGTTCAATTTTGGATAAACGTCATTACCAGGATCGAGGAGAATGGGGGCCTGCCCTGCCAGGCCTGCGCGGCGGAGCGGCAGTCCCAGATCGTCGGTCTGGAAGCGCGCATCGAGGCCACCCTCCTTTTCCCGCGCGGTCCCTGACTTGCATCGGAGGGACTTTTGCCAGGACCGCGGTGGAAACCTTTAGCCTTGTGGTTTGGGGGGACCATTTTTTGGCCGCCCCTGTGGGGAGGAGGGTACGGGGAGGGGGTACCTGTCCTGGAGAGGAGGGTTGGGGAGAGGGAGAGAAAAGGGCAGAAGAAAAGGAGAAGGCATGACTGGCGGGAGGGAACGGCGTGAATGATGGGGTCAGCAGGGGGGGAAGAAGGCGTGGGAGAAGGGAGGAGGGGTGGGATGGAAAGCTGTCGATGCTTTCATTTGTGCGCTCTTGATATGGGCTGGACGTCCGCATTGTATGTGGCGCGTTCTCTGGACATCCGCTCGGGGCTGCCCCCTGAGAGCCGGTAGGGTCACAATGCCCGCGGCCCGCCGGAGGAGGAGGAGGAGTGAGGGAGGGAGGGAGGGAGGGAGGGAGGGAAGATTGTGGCGAAGGGGTGATGGAGTGATGGAGAGGGAAGGAGATAGACAGACAGAAGGGCTGGGAGGAGGGCGGGGGGAATGGGCAGCGGAAGTGCGAGCGGGGGACCCGCAGTGGAGGCCGTCTCCCCCTCCAGCCCATCCTCCTCCTCCTCCTCCTCCTCCCCACTCTCCTCCCCCCCCTCCTTCCCCTCCTGATGCTGCTCCTCCTGTGTCTCTTTTTGCTCCAGGGCGGGTGAAAGGCAGAGTGAGCAGGAGGAGCAGGAGTAATTTTGCAGCGCCCAGGGCTCGTACTGACGATCTCACGGTGCTTGCTTTTTGAGTCGCGCCGAGGCTGCGTCGGCCCACCGCAGGGCCAGCAGCAGGAGCAAGCAGTAGCAGGATGATGGGACCAGCAGCCGGAGCAGGAGCAGGAGCATTAGCAGTAGCAGGAGCCGGAGCAGGAGCAGGAGCCGGAGCAGGAGCAGGATGCTGGGCAGCAGGAGCATCAGCATGAGCATCAGCAGGAGCAGGATGTTGGGCCAGCAGCCGGAGCAGGGGGCCTGGACGGGGCGGGGGGCCGGGAAGAGGAGGGCGGAAGCCGCCCGGGAGAGGGCACGCAGCAGCAGGAGGGGCAGCAGCAGCAGCAGCAGCGGGAGAAGCAGCGGCGG